CTACATGGTTCGAAGGTGAGGTTTAGCCAAGTCACCTTCCTCTTTCTCTGAAGAACTCGGCTAGCAGGTCTTTCTACCTGCAGCTGCCGTTTATGTTCTTAAGTTGGTCGCGAAAGACGACGAATGCTTTAATTTTTTCGTGTCCCCGGCACTCGATGTTATTTTCTGGACGGTGTCGTGTGTAGATATTTGCTCAGTTTTCAGGACGGAATTCGGGTATTTACCATGGAATATCAGAAAATTAATGCATGTTTGCTCATTGTATCTACATTTCTTAACGACGACAGTGGTCAGTTCAAGTTTGCGCCGTATTTATAGGTCTTGGGCCCTCGACCTGCTTCCCTGAGTTTTACCGGACACGTCTCGTCCGATGAATGAATGGATATCATTTCTCGTCTGCAATGTTTACCTCGATCTTTTCGATTTCCGTCCCGGCTTTTCTTACGACTGATTGATTCATCATAACGTTTTTGCGTTTGCGTGACTCACGTTTGCTGCTGTGTTATATTCTTCACAATGGTTGTACTGCTTTTTAGAACTTCATGTCCATCATAAACAGCTTTTCTCTGGCAGTCGATAATTTAGTGTTTAAAATACCCGTAGACTCGTAGGATTCACATTCGAATTTTAAACTCAGTTTTGCAGAGGTGACGCAACGTTGGAATTTCTGGCATCCCATTTGTATGTCGAAGTACCGCTGTTAGGTCATCACTATTTGAAGAAGCAGCGCCTCGCAATCAGCGTATTTCGGTCTGTCATGTTATAAAATTTATCAACTTTCATCACTCGATACCGTTTGTACCTGAAAACTAGATTGTTCTATTTTGGTCAGTATCGAGCATTCGGACAGCAGATAAGGATAGAGAGTTGTATAAATTGAAGACATGGCTTTGAACTTTGAACATCCCTTAGTCGTCAATACAGACAGGTTCCGCCTTTGCGTTACTATATTTTGTAGTTGATCTCTATGTCGATTTCGATTTTCTGTTTGCTATCATTCGTAACTTATAGTTTGAGATATTTCAACTTTTTTACCTGATCTGGTTGCATTTTACTTGTCTGTAGAACGTATCCAGAATCCTTTCCTACCAGTACAAAAGCGTTGAGTTTGGTCAAAGAGATGTTCGCCCATTCGCATAATGGAATACAGGATAGGGCAACGAACCTATCTACTGCATTTGAACATTGGAGGTCAACGCGATACGAAGCGAAATATGGCAGAATCGTCAACAACAAAAATGGCAGAAATAAGATGTTCACTGTGCTAAAAGGGTGCTTCTACTGATCCAATGCCTGAAAGGTATGAGCAGGACAAAAGATCACGCGTACCCTTTGCGAGAACCAACGTTAGCTTTGAAAAACATCGACTTTAGTCACTGATTCATTGTTGTATTCATACAATGCCAGTGCTTTAATGCCATGGAGCCATGGCTTGCTTAAATGGTCTCTCTGTGACTCTAGAAGCAGCGGACTTTGCAACACTGCCGTGGAATCTGACATAATAACATGTACCGTAATTAACTATAGCAGTATTGATGTAGTTGAATGAGAATTTTCCCTTGATATTACGCATTTATTGACGAATGTTGTCGACGTCAAGCGATACACAAGTCTTTAACGTTTTTCGACAGCTTTTCTCTATTAACTCACCGTTTTTAGAGTTGCTGTTGACCGATTTGCAGAACACCACTTCTGCGTTGAAGAAAGTCAACTTGTCCGACAAGTACCAGCGACAGAACGCTGAGCGAACGATCGTACGTTTGCTATCTGTTTTCTGCGTTATTGATAAAGCAATCTTGAAATTCGACCTCATCGTTCTTTTTAGACACAGGAACCTCAGCGATCTCAGATGTCGGTCGTGACAGCAGAGCCGGCCGCATCTCGCGGTCAGTGTCTTAACGACATGGAACAGTTGTTAGACGAATACAGTAGTCAACGAGGTGAGAAAATTTCTTTCTACCTACTGACAATAATTGACGACTATTTTATTTAATAGTACGTCTGGTTTTTATAAGAAATATTAGTGACATAGTTTAGATCCTGATCATTTTTTTTCAATCGGTAGAGCGTCGAATTTTCGGTTATGATTAATGGTTATCCAGATGAAAGACTACAAGCACACTACTCGATTTCCCATTTCTTTCCTTATTGTAAAAATGGCTCATGTTCTTGCATGAACACTGGAAGCTATATTTTGTATAGAAAGCTACACGTATAAATGGTATTATTAACCTATGTAAGTTATTTTCTGAAGTCACGATTCTAGTACCAATCAGTGCTCATTTTCCAAACGGGGGTAACCACCAATCATATAATCTTTCGTTGAAGGGATTGACTGCATGAACGCAAAACTGTTTAACATCAGTAAGCTAGTTAAACTAGGTTTTGATAATCGGTTTTTGATTATCCAAGCTAT